TCAGAAACGTTTTTGATTCTATAATAAACTATTGTGAATAATTTTAATGTTATCTTTACACAGTTCATAAATGACATTGCTTTGAAAGTCAACTTTTACAATAAATGGATCAAACATTTGCATACGGTAACATGTATATTGAAAATTATACAGTATATCATGAGCTTATCATTATATCGCTTTCTGTATTGTTTCCAGGAGCAGTTAACGCAGGATGGGCAGCTGGAGAGTTCTGTTTGTCGGCGTCGCAGCCTTCTGTGTCTGCAGTGCCGCAGGAGGGGCCAACAATGACGTCGACAGCTACATCTACGGCATGAGCTACTCCCGAGACCAAATCTTGGCCTCCCATGGAGAAACCAAGACCAGCGTTCCAGTTCAAACTGTGGGAAAGGTTGATGGCAACAAGAACTTCATCGTCATCACCAGAGAGAAGAAATCTGCTCAAAGTGGAACGTCTGACATCGGAGTAGTGTCTGCCAACGAACACAGAACCTACCCTGGATCCTTGCTGCTGGCCAACCAGAGACTCATGGACAACAACCCAGATGTCTTGGCAGCTGCCCGTGCTCCCTTGACTTACACCGTAAATCTGCCAGGATTGACCACAGACGGCCACTTCTCCATTGACCCAACCTTCGCCAACTACCAATCCTCAAAGGAGAAAACCCTAAAAGCATGGTTTGATAAGTACTCGAAGGACCACAACGTTGTCGCTAACTTCCAGAATGACTTTACCTTTGCCTACAGCCAGGAATACTTGAGAGTCAAATTCGGTATGGAGTTCAAGAACACCCAAGTTGAAGCCAGCATTGATTTTAGTGCGATGCAGAACCAAGAAAAACTCATCATGATTCATAAATTTAAACAGATTTACTACACCGTCAGTGTGGAACCTCAAAAGAAACCCTCAGACCTGTTTGCCTCTTCAGTGACCGCCGCAGAACTTAAACAGAAGACCAACAGCAGCAGCCCACCAGTGATTGTTGATAGCGTGGCTTACGGAAGGACCATCTACGTCAAGCTGGAGACATCCTCTACTGACAAGGAGGCCAAGGCTACTCTCGCTACTAAAGCCTCGAATTTCGATATCAAAGCGGAAGCTGAAACTGAAATCAAGAGCAAGCTGAAGGACCTTAAAATGCAAGTGTTTGTTCTTGGAGGAAGCACTGAGCACATTGAGCTGATCAACGCACAGACCTTCAAGGATGTCAACAATGTTCTGGTAAAATACGCAAAATTCTCCAAAGACAATTTGGGATTTCCTATTTCCTACTCGGCCAACTTCATCAAGGACAACTCCAGAGCTGTCGTCCAGATGAGCACAGACTACATTGAAACTACCAGAACTGTAAACTCCAAGGGAGTTCTTAGGATTGCCCACAAGGGAGGATTCGTAATGCAGTGGGCCATCACATGGAAGGAGGTGAACTACGACAAGAATGGAAACAAGGTGTCAACTGAGGTCAGCTGGGACAAGAACTGGAAGTCTTTGACTGCTCCTTTCAGCCAGGACATTGAACTCCCAGGAAATGCTCAAGACATCAACGTGTTCGCCAGGGAAGCCACCGGCCTGGCATGGGAGTGGTGGCGCACAGTCATTGACAAGAAGGGCATCCCTCTAGTCGGAGAAAGAACAATCACAGTCTGGGGCACAACTCTCCATCCTGAGCATTCTATTTCTCCCAGTGCTTAAGATACGGTTTAGGACTGACACTTTATTGACATGGTAACTGATTTTGAACTTTTGTGATATTTATGTTTGTTAACTTTTAAAATATTCTGACCAAAAATAAAATTATAGAATGTGTATTGTCTCTGAAAATAATATGAATGGACTTGTTAATGTAAGATATTAAATGTTTTTGTATTGTTTAAATGCCACTTGACTGAATTTTTTATAATAAAAGCAGAATTTTATCACATTTTGTGTTCTTTTTTTGGTGTATGCAAATTTATCATAATTTTTAATTCAATGATAACTGTATCAAAACAAATTTGAACATGCATTAGCTACCCATAATTTTAAAACTTTGCGGTAATTTATTTAAAGTTGTTGGAACATTCAAAGATAAGAATAGAAGGTAGAGTACGCTTGGATTTGTTCAAGAAATTTAGTTTTGAGAATGAATATACTCTAAGTATCCTATTTCAAAACACCTTGCAATGGTAAAAAAACAAAGGCAATGAATTAATGCTAATGAGTCAATAAACATGTTTAAGTTTTGGTGGCAACATTTTTTATAAAACAAGGCTGAAAATATAATGTCGTAAGTAATAGTATGGGTTACACTATGGAATACATGTGAGATGACGTTATTTAAATCAGTCTCTAAATTTCTCATACAATCTGTAAGATTCCAAATATTATAATCTAAAAGTATAACTCATTTTAATCAGACTCTTGAATAGTAATTTTTATTGTTTGATTAATTAGTCTGCATGGATTTCTTCTTCTAATAGGGAAATAGGGAACAAGACTTCGTGATTGCCATATTTTTTCCAAATATCTGACATAATCACTTTTTAACTCTGGGTTAAAATGTCAGTAAAAAACTGTCACAACACAGTGATTGAATGTCTGGTGAGTAAATTAAACACAGGAAGCCTAGCTTTTGACATATCAAACAAATACTAAACTTCAATGATGTAGTTAAATCAGTTTCCCATGTCTTGTTTGCAGTTTAAACTTCATTGTGACTTATTGACTTTAGAGACACGTTGAAATGTTCATTAAAAACCAGACAATATTTTTTTGAAATAGCACACATAAAATATTTTTCTAAAGTGAGAACGTTTTGCAATTTGTCTGAGACAGTTTGCAAATTTTGTATAGAATAATAATTTCAAACACATAAATTTTTATTTGACAAAATGAAAAATAAATGCGCGTTTTGTGTCGTGCGCTTAGAAATTATAAAGTTTATTTTCTTGTATTATAGTTTGAAGCAATTATAACACATCTTATCACTTAGGCCATTAAACTAATACAGTAGGTTCTTTTTATGATGAGGTCTTAAGTGACCTCACACAACAATTGTAGTCAAACACATTCAGGTTATGAAAATCGAATAAAGTGTTAACTAAAACCATTGACTACCCATGATTACTGTGATAAAATGATTAAAAATGGCAAAATAGTGTTTTTATGCCAAACATATTTAATCCTACGTACTTAGGTCATTCCTCCGAATTAATTAATTTCCATTTCTTAATACAAACATCATTTACGAAATTTTAACAAGCTCTAAAGATAGTTTTAAAGATGTTTTACTAAGTGTCAACGTTTGGCTTAGTTCTTGGAAGCTTTCTTACCACGGAATCCTTACTTATTACAAAGTAAGAATAAAAGCTCTAATTCAAGAAGGAAAACTTACATTTGCCCAAATTGTAAACCGCCATACAAGTAACTAGTTACTATGAGGCAAGAATAGCTACTGCTACTACTTTTAAATTCCGACTTTGTCCAACATCGCTAAGTTTTATGTTTCTTGTAGTTATTTTGTAAAATTGAAGATTATTATGGAATTCGAATGGAATGTTTAAAATACTATTATAAAACGGTCATTAAGTTTTTGTTTATATTTTGCACAAAGATTTTGCTAGAAAGATAAACATTTTTTCAGATTGTAAATGCTCTGTGCGTTTAGTGCTTTTTTTATCCACATATAGACAGACACTAAAAGGTTTGCGCCAGGACGCATGTCATATAACATTTGTTGATGTTTTTATCTTCAGAATAATCTGGTAGAACTGTTTTGCTGAAGCTGGTCACCCTGTATAATGAGTACAACATAATCGTTACTGATAATTATTATTTGTGATACAATGTCAGTGGTAATTATGATTCATTGCAAAGAACCCGTTATAGCACAGTCTTGTAACAGTTCTATCATCAACAATTTCACAAAGTATGCATATAGTTTGTTTGTCTGCACTCGTCATGCGGTTTTATCAAACCAGATCATTCAACAGAAATCAAGAGCTGATTTAAAAGAAGCCTACAACAATAAATAATTAATTTAATTAGCAGTTTATACATTTTATCGTGTGAACCTAGTCTCACTAGATATTTTATTTTAGATTCACATATTAAGGCAACCCAAACAAGATATTATAAGACGTTTTTATAATTCAATGTGTAGCATTTTCGTAACAATCTTACTGTATATAAAAATTAGATTCACTACTCTTAGAAAATACCTTAAACAAAGAACACCAGTTTATGTTTGAAGTATAACTTACACAGGTCCCTTAAAGTGGTTGTAATACTAATTGACAGTCCATGAGTTTCCCCCTCTAAGAATCTTTTACTGACTCATATAAGGTTTGAATCCATCCCTATCAGTTAAGTACCCTCACAATATGTTACGCGTCGATATCAACACATAATACCATAGATTTTATAAAAGTTTTGATGAAGAAAAGGTTTTTAAGTAATCCATACTAACATTATCATCGACGCATATTTTATAATAGTTATTATGAATGGCAAGTGTAAACTTTACAACTTATTTGTGCCTAGTTTATTATACAGTAAAAAAAAATTGAATACATAAATGTATAAGAATAAATAAATCACCTTCCGATTGTATAGTCATTCGATCACGTTATTGGAACTTAGTTAGTTGTGCTATGTTATCCATCGAAAGTCTGTACGGTGAGAACGAAAAAAACTACTTAAATGACACATTTCAAGTTGCACACATATCATAAACTTAACCAACTTATGTGCATATCCTTTTTCTTAGAATACTCAACAATCAGTGTTTAAATAGCCCTACTATTATTTTCTGTTATCTTATTAGGTAGCGAGCGGCTACCTAGTTAAAATTGTGTTAAGGATAGTCAAGATTTTATTTTCACTTTTTTCGTAAGGTCCAGCGCCCCTCTCCCCTTTCCTTGGCCATCAACCCGTTGTAGACAGTTGTTTTGCTGAGTGGTTGAGTCATCGGTGGTCATCCTATCCAGCGTTGCCAACCCCACCCCATTACAAGCGTATCCCACAGCCTGTCAGTCAGTTCTAGTCTATCGTTTAGAGTGCCTCAGACTACTACAAGAACTACTAACCGACTGGTAAGTCATTTGCCATGCTTTTATGTTATTAATTATAATAATTGTTAATTTAACCTCCAATGCTAGATTGCAATATAAAAAAATATATACAGGGTGTTTTTTTTAAAAACTTGCATCTTTATTTATGTAAAAACCGCAATAGATAGAAATATGCAGTTTGCGGGAATCATCTATTGACGTAGGGGGACCGATTGTTTTGAATTCAACGTTACATTCACATTCCCCCCCTTTCCCCCCCTGCCCCCAACTTATTTTTTTAAATAGCAAAAAAAAGGGGGGGTACCCCTTGTGACATATCAAATAAAAGAGCATGAAAAAAGAAAATTTTTGATGAAAAAAAATTGAAAATCGGTTTATAAATTTGTGAGATATTTCCCCCCTCACCCCCCGGAACTTAATTTTTTTTAATAGCAAAGTACCCCTTGTGACATATCAAATGAAAGAGCATGAAAAAAGAAAAATTTTGGCGAAATTTATTTTTCATTTGATATGTCACAAGGGCGGGTACCTTGCTATTAAAAAGCAAGTTATGGGTAGGGGAAAAGGGGGGTGATTATCTCACAAATTCATGAGCCGATTTTAAATTTTTTTTCACCAAAAATTTTCTTTTTTCATGCTCTTTCATTTGATATGTCACAAGGGGTACTTTGCTATTAAAAAAAAATTAAGTTCCGGGGGGGTGAGGGGGGGAATATCTCACAAATTTATGAACCGATTTTCAATTTTTTTCATCAAACATTTTCTTTTTTTATGCTCTTTTATTTGATATGTCACAAGGGGTACCTTGCTATTTAAAAAAAATAAGTTGGTGGCAGGGGGGGAAAGGGGGGGAATGTGAATGTAACGTTGAATTCAAAACAATTGGTCCCCCTACGTCAATAGATGATTCCCGCAAACTGCATATTTCTATCTATTGCGGTTTTTACATAAATAATAATGCAAGTTTTTAAAAAAACACCCTGTATATAAAACACAATTACGGATATTCTAAAGGAAAATATCCTACTAGCGGAACAAAATTTTTAGATCTTAAACTCTCCCAAATAGTAAACCATTTACTTGCCAGCAAAAGATATAACTTAACATACCAAGAGGTTTTTTGGTAATTTATATTATTAAAACACCACTAAAAACAGTTATTCATCATGTGTTTAATAAACACATCACAGTAATGAAAACATATAATACCAGTAACATTTATTTATATGTTCTGTAACTACACCCAGTCAAACAAAATTTTGGCAAACTTTTTGTCAGGTATAGTTTGGTTATTTTTTTTCTAGATTGTAGAAATTCTTCTATTCTATGTGTAAACTATTGTAAATAATTTTAATTTAATAATTTAACAGTTTAATTAAAGACAATGCTTTGAAAGTCAAACCATTAAAAATTGATAATACAATTTACGATAAATGTATTGCTTTGTTGTTTATGTGTTTAACAACTATATATCATGCATTAATCTGCTATTATATCGTTTTCTGTATTGTTTCTAGGAGCAGCTGACGCAGGATGTGCAGCTGGAAAGTTCTGTTTGTCGGCGTTGCAGCCCTCTGTGTCAGCAGTGCCACAGGAGGTCCCAACAATGACTCCAAGGGTGTACTTAGGATCGTCAACGAGGGAAACTTCGTAATGCAGTGGGCCATCACTTGGAAGGAGGGGAGCACTGAGGTCAGCTGGGACAAGAACTGGAAGGACTTTCCTGGTCCTTTCAGCCAGGACATTGAACTCCCAGGGAATGCTCAAGGCATCAGCGTGTTCGCCAGGGTAGCCACCGGCCTGGCCTGGGAGTGGTGGCACACAGTCATTGACAAGAAGGGTATTCCTCTGGTGAAGGAGCGTACTTTTACAGTCAGTGGAACAACTCTCAATCCCAAGAGTGTTATATCTCCTAGCGTTTAGTTGGTTACCACGAATAGCAAAGTCAATTTTCTATTTCTCCTAGGGCTTGAAGTACGGCTTATAATGGTCTGACACTTTATTTGACATAGTAAATCTTAAAAAACTTGTGTGATACTTATGTTTGATACCTTTTAAAATGCTGTGACCGTAACTAAACTATGTATTGTCCCTGAAAATAAGATGAATAAAAACGGTTAATGTAAGAAACTAATTGTTTTGTACTGTTTAATTGTCACTTGACTGAATTTTACTAACAACAAAAATACAGAAATTTATCACATTTTGTGTTATTTTTTTGTGTATGTTTTATAATTCACTGACAACTGTCAGTATCAGTGAAGTATAATTCACACAAAAAAAAACATTCGTTACCTACCTATGATTTTTAAAAGTCATTCACTGTAGCTCAGTATGTATCAGCTATGTAGCTCTGTAGTTTCAGTGTAGCTCACTGCTCATTTATTTAAAGTTGTTGGAACATTCAAAGAGAAGAATAGATGGTAGAGTTTGATTGGGTTTTTTAAGATATTTTGGTTTCACAATTACTATACTGTTAGATTCCTATTTCAAACCCCCTTTGTAATGATAAAAATACCTAATCAATTAATACATGGCTAATGAGTCAATAAAACACGTCTAAGTGTACTGTAAGACATTCTCAGTTAAATTGTTGCAGACACACTTTAAACGTTTTAAAAGAGTCTTACATCTCGCAATATTGTGTGATTAGAAATTATAAAGGTAATTTTCTTTTAGTAAAGTCCATAGCAGTTAATAACTAATACACACTAAACTTTATTTTATGATGATTTCTTAAGTGAACCAAAAACTTTGGTAATCAAACACATAAAAGTTATGAAAATCGAATAAAGCGTAAACTAAAAACCCTGATCACGGCATTATAAGATGATTAAAAACAGCAAAACTGTATGTTTATACCTTTTCTATTTAAACCTACATGATTTATTCATTCCTCCGAATCAATTAATTTTCATTTCTTATTGCAAACGCCATTAACAAAATTTCATCTAGCTCTTAAGATATTTTAAAGAAGTTTTTATGTGTCAACGTTTCGGCTTCGTTCTAGACAGCAGTCTTAATCAAGTGGCAGAACGGGTGGCAGGAACTACAAATAAATGCTAGGTTTGTATTGATAACATACAATAAATATTTATTTTATGGTGTTTAGTGACCACGTAAGCCTTAATTTTTAAAAGAAAGGAGAAAAAACTTCTAATTTAAGAAATAAAACCCTAATTGACTAAAATATAATCCTAAATACATATAACTATGTACTGTGAGGCTAGAATAGCTATTGATCCTTTTTTGAAATACGTCTTTGACCAATAATTAATTTTGTTGAGGCTACAAAAATGAAACGCTGTGCCCATTAATTATGTTAATACATACTCCCATTTCAACAGTTTCTCGTGTACATTGTCATACACAACTAATCTAATGTGACGAAAGTTCATGATATTGAAATTATGCATTTTCACCCATTTAGCTTATCATCAATCAAAAATGAAAGCCTTAAGGTAAAATATTTTCCGTCTTATACACTGCCTTTTAATAAAGCTTAAGGGTTATGGTTTGCATATTTTGTATATTCAAAAGTAAGTACAAGTGTACAGAATAAGGTGAGAAGACAAGTATGTTACAGTAAATTTTGTCACACGTTTCAGCTATAAAGCTATACGACCTAAGCCTCTACAAGAATAATAGGCGTCAAACAAATCCTTGTAGTTGCAACTATTTTAACATGGTTTACTGGTTTAAATGTTAACATCAGGCATTACGTAGAATAAAAATACAAAAGCTTGTCTGCTTAATTGAGCCTTAAACAAAAAGCAAAAGGAGTAATAATTTATAGAAAAATATATCATATAAGTCTCCATCCATCTACATCTTATGAACAATCGCCACATAGTACCAACTGTCTTGAGCTGTAAAGAAATTGTACATGAAAACGTGCGAGAAAGGACTAGGTATAAATAATAAAACTGTGATTGGTAGATTTTATTTTGAAGTTATCTTTCCATTAAATAAACGCAACAACAATATTATCATATAAAATTATTTATAAAGGCCATGTAACATAAGAAAACATCTGTAGAAGCATAAACTCGAGAAAGTAAATGTAGCGAGTTAGCAGATTAACCAAAGTGACGTGTCCTGAGGCTAGACGTGACACTATTGCAAATGTTATCTCAAGTTGAATTATATATTCTTAGGCAGAATTTTCTCCAATAACTGTTTCATAATTATATCGTATTTGGCCAGCTGAACTGAGTCAAACAGTATCAAATTTAAAAACTTAAAAATTTTAAAATTAAAAAATCAAATTCTCATCATTTGTGGTTTGATTTTAAGTCAACCAATTATAGAATATCTGATAATAAAATAGTTAGGTAAGTGAGTAGTTGTATTGCTAATCTTACAATGAAAAGGTTGTGTTATCAATACTGAGAAAATCGGTACTACATTTCAAATTATGATGTTAAAGATTACTTAAAACTATCACTTTAACTATCAGTAACAAGCGTGTTCTATCACAACCTCCACGATGTAAGTTAATAGCTTAGCAAGATTATATTTTTGTATTAATAAAATAATTAATACCTGTAAAATACCCAAAATATTGTATAATCCAAATAAACTTTGTTCCAACTACTATAATTCTGCTTACCATTATCTATTGAACTACTCTGTTGGTAAATTTATTTATTTTGGTTCCGTGGAAATTATTAAACAAAATTACATGTCAATCTTCAGCAGTATTATTCCCAAGTCCTCCAGAGATAGTCGGAAACTCAGAAGATCCTGGTATGGATAGGGAGGATTGATAAGAGAGTGGACAAATTAAATGGGATAGGTTCATTCTAAGCACAAGTCAATATTGCTAGATTTTTAGGCATTTGATAACATATATGTGGGTTTGTCATGTAGTCTTTTCCAAACATATAAAACTGGTCTGCGAACCCACCGAAGCTATGAACAATCACTGATAACCGTACTCAGTACTTTTATAGAGTGCAGGTTGTCTGCAGGCTTGCAGAACAACATGTCTGAATGCGCGACCGTATGGGAAATTCAACCACGCCCTTAGACCTAATACACTCCTTTTCACGATGTTTATTTACAAGATATAAAATAATTAGTCAATTTGATGTTTGATTTACCAAGTTTGTTATATTCATTCGTTCCATTTTATAACAAAAGAAAAGTTCTTCAAGCTTCTCCTGGTGTATCTGGATTTCTCGGACTGCTCTTTGGGTCTATTGATTCTTCATCGAGAGCAAAGTACTTTTTGGTGTTTGGTCCCTCCAAGTCCCAGGGACATCCCAGTGGAAGCGAGCTGGTGTAGTGGTTAGAGAGGGGGAATTTGGCGTCTGAGGTCCCGGATTCAAATCCCGCCATTACACCAATGGATTTTATCTAAGTGATAATGCCGCAACCCCTAGGTCTAGCCTGAAGTAATGTGAAAAACAATCCCAGGCTCGTGCCTAGCATCCTAGTAAAAAATCCCAGGGACATTTTTGATACCTAAACGTCAGACAATTCTGCTTCTTGTTTAATTATTTTTTAAATAAATTTGCTGATGGGAGAAAGTGGTGTTTCAGTCATGAAAATTACACCAACCAATTTGTTACGGACAATTCTCGTAGCTTCCATCCAACCCGTCTCAACACCTCCATGCTTAAGAAATTTGAGAGCAACATACATTTTAAAACCATAGAAATACTATATTTACGGCCATAGTAAAACTGTCAATCAAATGTCAAAAATGCTGCACATCACTGCATTGTTTGAACACTCAAATCCAAGGCCTTTGAGGATGAACAAATTCATTTTCTAACTTAAAAACTTTTAAAAACTGGACCATACTCAAACTTTGACAGCATGGCCATCCATTATAGATGTCTCAAATCTACTGTCACTCATTAGTGTTTTTATAAGAACGAAATATTTATTGAAAAGGTGATTGAAGGTGGTTTACTGGCAGTGTTATGTCAGAATGTATGTCTTGTAACCAAAACATTTAAATAGACTAATATGAATAGTCTTCCACGAGTATGTTGTATAATTATAATACATACAATGAATGCAATTGATAAAATGTATGGTTTCAATGTAAGTAAGAAATACATCGATGAGTACTCACAACTACAGTACACAAATACAGTACTCACTCACCCCTAAATATTGGGGCGCAGTGCATGTACTACGGAGCTGAAAATATTGAAGATGGAAACTCTTCTGAGTCCGATATGGAAATTGAAATTATTTACCTATGCCTAATTAAACAACATTCGTTTAAACTAGTCTTCAAACTTGTTGCCACAAGGAAGATGTACAGTGTTATTTTCAATATACTACAATTAGCTTATAGCTTGTATCAATAAACGTTAAGCGTTCACAGACCCCTTTATACTAAATTATTTGTTCAAAGCTATACAGAATAGTTTAAACTGTGATGTTCTTAACGTTGAAAACAGGAAAAGATAATTTTAACCAATAAAATCCTAATCACATAGACCAGCCATGCTGGTTGCACCTTAGTGGTTACATCACACCAGTACATGTGAAACTTAATGTTATTTAAATAGGGAATACATCAGACCTACTGAAAATACAAACAGGCAAATGAAAATTCGCTCAGTCTGCGGATTGACTGTGGTTGGGGTATTTGGCTTTGTTGCGTAGTTTGCCTGGTGTGTGGCCTTGAATCTGTGGCTGTCGTACAACCTGTGAGATGACTGTGTCATACAGGTCCACGCGTGTGTCAGACCGTACAAGCGTGTGTCTCAGCTTACGCGGTATTCGACTGTGCGTTTACTAGCATTTTAAATAGTCAATAACAGTTTTCGTGATCTCAGACAGTTAGGCATATTTTTACATAACTTTTACGATATTGTAGCATGTTTTATTACCAAGGTCAAACTAGATTTTAAATTTATTTTGTGAATTTAAACTAAGTGAATTTAGTTATTCTTTTT